ATGATGACGTGTCTTGTTAGCGATATTGCGAAAAAAGTGTTATTTTTTAAGCCTAATCACAGGATTTCATTGGTTGGTATTTTTTTTAGTTTTTTAATCGAGATACAACAAAAAGTGTATTAAAATGTCGTTCTCAGGATTGAAGAAGCAGTTCAATAAAGCGAATCAGGTAATTCATAGTCTTTGTTTACTATTTTTGAAGACTCACTTATATTTAATATTTAAAAACGGTTTTCATTTGTTTGAGATTTGCAATTTTACAGTTTTCTTTACTTTTTGGTTTCAGTACCTAAGCGAAACTATGGGTGCTGCAGAAGCTACAAAATTAGATGATGATTATACTGAAATGGAAAAAGTGAGTTTTTTTTTTGTTGTTTTGAAGGCTTACATTTTTTGGTGCTGTTCGTTTGCTATGCGAACTTTATTTGCGACGGAATGTTTGATTTGATCAAGGACCTCAAAATCGTATCTGTGCAGCAATTAATTTTCGCTTTATTTGCATCGAAAGAGTTGTTGAACAGCAAACATGAGCGCAGATCATTAAGTTACTTTAGTTCTTATATCTTCAAGTATCAAGCGGTGGAATTTGGGACTGTTCTGTAATAAGGAATATTCTTTTTTAAAATTCTTTGCTTACATTGGGCATTACTGAGCAGCGGTTAGTTGGATGCAGAGTGGTTATTTTACAAGGAACCTTTGTTGATCCAGAAAGTTACCTCTGTTTACTTTCTATATTATCATTGTCACTAAAATTATCATTCTTCTTTTCTTTCATTTACTTCTCCTCCTTATTAATATTATTGCTACTAATATTGTTATTATCATTTCCGCAGCCTCGTAAGGTGTTAAGTAACATCTCCATATTTTTGGGCAGCAAGATGACTCTATAATTTCCAAATAGTTGAAACAAACACATTTGTGTGGCCAGCACCTTCTCCGTTGTTTGCGAAATTCTCGTTATATTAGTTGAACACTTTTTGCAGTTTTCTCATTTATGTGTAAAAGTTACTCTATTCAAACATTAAGTTGGATTATCGACACTAAACAGGTAGGAAATTAGAACTTACTGCAACAGTAATTTTTGAAAAGATTTATATCTCTTGCTTTATAGAAGGTGGATTTGACCAATGACTTGATCAGTGCCTTAATCGCTGGTACTCACGAATATTTGCAGCCAAATCCAGGTAGCTTTATCTTTATAGTTTTCTTTAATACTTGTACACAGCCATGGCCTTTGTTTCTTTAAATGGGCTTTGTTAAAATCGACTCTAGCTACTCGAGCCAAGATGACAATGGCTGGTGCGTTTTCAAAAGTAAGAGGTACTACTAAGACATCTCCATATCCACAAGTAGAGGGTCTGCTGGCAGATACGATGCAGAAATATGGTAGCGCTCTAGGTCCTGATTCAGACTTTGGGAAAGGTACTTTTTTTGCTGCTTTTCTACGTTCCTGCAATGAACAGTGTCTCAGATCCTAAAGTGTATTCACGGTTTTGGAGCATTTATTTTACAGCGCTCTTGGATACTTCCGAAGCGTATCGTCAAATGGCTGATATAAAGTATCAGATGGAGGATTCCGTCAAACATAATTTTCTTGATCCGTTAGCTCATGTACAACAGACGGATATCAAAGAAGTTAACGTGTGTCTTTCAGGCTGAATTATTTCCTCCCTTAGATTTTCCTAAGATTACCTTGAAATTGCTGAATTTCCTATGAAATTGTGACATTAATTATGATATTTGTTGGCTAATCATTTCTAAAAAATTGGTACTGTTTTCAAAGCAGTTTACTGTTGTAGGTAACAGTCCGACAACCCGAAAAATTTTTTTGTTTATTTTAGCACCATCGTACAAAGTTGAAAGGGAGAAGACTGGATTACGACTGCAAGAAACGGAAACAAGTGCGAGGTGCTTTATTTTATTTCCTTTTTTTGACAGTGCCACAGTGCTTGACATATTTCGTAACTGGACCTGGTTTAGTACTTAGTTTTGCCGGGTCGCATTTCTTGTAGCTTTCGGTCTGAATGGGTCTAAGTGTAGTCCTCACTATGAAAAAATTTAAGTAAAGGGTCTTCGAATGGGTTATTCCTGTTCAATTAAACGATAGTATTTGCGAATGTTGCTTTATTCTGGCGGAATCTGCTAACCATCGTTAATGTTTTATCTTAACTGGGTCTTATTTTGTCTAGAGAGGCTGATGTTTGACGGTTTTTTAAATGTTCTTGTCTAATCCTAGTAACTTAGGGCTGTTTAGTTTAAAAGCTCTGAGATGGGTACGGCACATCCGCCTCTTTATTAGCAATTAAATTAAGTATGCACCATGTTCAGGAGAGGTATTGGAGAAAGCGTGTTCTATATAGTTCCATAAATTGTTGCATTCACTTTTTTAACTTGCCTCAACTAAATTTAGACGATGAAATGATACAAGCAGAAGAGAAATTGGAAGAGTCAAAACAGCTGGCGGAACAAGCTATGTTCAACCTTCTTAGCAATGACGTGAGTCTTGAAATAGGGTCATAAAGTATTTGCACTGTAATCAGAGCACCTGCCCAGTTGCTGTGTGCGTGCTTTCGTCAGATTTCTTGAAATTTACTTAAAATTATCTAAGCAAGAAACTCGTCTCTTGTTCCGTACGTTCTCAAGAACTTCGATTTCAGGTAGAACAAGTCTCTCAACTTTCCGCTTTAGTTGATGCACAGTTGGATTTCCATCAAAGGACAACTCAGATATTAGAACAGCTTCAAACCGCTCTTCATAACAGGTTAGTCCGGCTCAAATGTTAATGCAAAGCTTTTTCGTTATAAGTCTGTCTGAAAAAAGAAACGGAGACTGGGAGGAGTTTCAATGGAAATTCGCCGGTAAAATCAGTTTTGACGATTATACCAACTTTAAACTTTCTGTTTGCTTTATACTTTTCTATAACTTTCGGTTATGATTAGGTAAACACGTGTAAATATCGAAACTTAAGTTTAATAAAACATTTCTTATTTACGGTAAATTTCTACTCTGCAGAACTCCACATCCAAACTCAGCAGGGTATCTTTTTAATAAATGTCTTTTAGTTGCCCAATGCTTTGTGTTTTCAAAATTTAAACTCGTAAAATAAAAGTTGGAAGGTGGACGAAATAAAGATTTGCAGCCTTCTTAAATTCAAGTCCTGTCCCTTAATGAGTTATGCGTAAACCGTCATGCGAACAAGTATAGAGGAAAAGGAAGCTGCGGAATTTGCACATTTAACTTTTATCTGGTGGCAAATGTTTTTTGAAACTAAATTTAATATTACTTTTTCGGAGCTCATCGTTTGCATTTCCGTATAAGAATGCCTTAAAAACTTGTTCAGAGTTCAAGAGGCGAGTAATAGGCCACGGGCCGAACACATAGTTAAACCGGTACTGACCCACAGGACGCCACGTAACAGGTTAATCAGTTAATCAATACTTTTTCATTTTTACTTTCTCGAAACTTTGCGGTGAACGCCTATTCTTTCTATAGGATTTCTGGATGAGATTCTTAACTTTCAGATCTCCAGTACCAGCCGACACTGCTTCAACCACGAATATAAATTATCAACCCCAGCCCCAAAACACTTTCAAACCGTTTACTTCCAATGGTGCTGACTGGAATTCTACCACTTCTACATCCAATCCGCCTTCCTCAGTCTATCCACAGACGGGTGGTCAACCCTTCGCCCAGCAGAACCCGTCTGTTACACCAGTGGCACCACAAGCAAGAAAACCTTCCGCAAAAGCATTGTATGATTTTGAGGCTCAAAATGAAGGCGAGCTGGACTTTAAAGAAGGCGAGATACTTGAACTCATCTCACAGATTGATGAGAATTGGTTCGAAGGGAGGTTGCGTGGGAAGACAGGATACTTCCCAATTTCGTACGTCCAAGTGCTAGTTCCACTATGAGTGCCAAAAAAGTTATTTTTGGTATGACCTCCCAACATACGAGAGGGGCTGATTCGTCCCTAAACTACGTTCCAAAGATCTGTATCTTCTATGTGTCCGTCGTTAATGCCTAAAGCTATTTTTGCATTCTCTATTTAATTTGTTCTGCCTTTTTAAGCAGATGCTAGTCGTGTAATTCCCTGTTTTTGAATAAGTTGTGCAAATTTGAATAATGAATGTAAATGTTTCATTCTCTCGCACTCATGTTTTTCTACAATATTTATTGCATTTCTTTTCTTATTATTCGTGTAATTTCTCCCTTTGTTCGCTGCATAAGAATTTTTCATTTAGTAGTTGGGGGAGATTGAGCCATGTCCAGTGCGGGGCAAGTGAATTAAGCTTGCGCACTGAAGATCGGTTACCATTTTTGTCGGTCTGTAAAGTGACGTTGAAAAGCGATTTCTGTAGTTTGCTATCAGAATACTGCCGACATAGGAACTGTGGCTTCGTAATTGTCACTTCCAGCTTTTGTTTACCTTAATTTTATTGTTAATAATTTGCTGTAATTGGCTCCAGTGTTATATGCAAATTAAATATTGGATAAAGGTAGTCCTTCCGAGTCAGCCTTCAAACGGCCTCGTTCTAAGCTACTAGCTTTTAAAAAAAACTAACTGTAAAATAAGCCGTAAGTATGCTTATTTGCTCTTTATGGCAGGTGACTTTACGGCAGTCGACTCTTCACTCGAATAGCCAGTAAGTAGCTTAACGTGACCGATCCTGATTGCTTCGCTCATCGGCTGTCTCAAGTATTATTGTGGAACAAGCGGTCCAACGTAACCTCTTTGAGGCTGCTGCAGTTCGTCTTTGATTTCTACTTAGAGTTCGAACAGTGGAAGTAAGCGGAGCCTGCCGGTCATTTGAACTTTTAGGAAAGGTTGAAAAAATTAATTGCAACGGGAGTATCTGTGGACACGACATCGCCTTCCATTATTATTGCAGGTTCTGTTGGAGAGTGCCTTCTAGTTCTCCGGAACTCGCCAGCTGTTCAAATGCTAGGAATCTGTGACCCGCTGAAACGGCTGCCCAAAAACCTACGTTGTCGCAAAGGCTGTGACACGTAGAGCGGCTAAAACGCTAAAACAGCACCATTGCGCTAAGTGGTTTTTTTTTTTGCTACCAGCTAGTTACCGAAAAAGTGGCAGGCAAATGACTAATCGAAAGTATGAGCGTGCGTTAAGCGCAGCACAGCAGAAACCTGGCTAACTTGGTGGATAAACCAAACAGGCCCATGACCTTGGTCTCAAGCCACACAGTGAAGCTCGACAGATCCTTGCGGACTTGATTTTACGTTACAGGTCCGTCTCCAAGCTGTCAGCTCCCCCCTTGAAACGCTATTTAAAATAAACTTAAAACTGTTGATGGGGGAGCAGTAGTCCGTGAGAGAGAACAATGAATAATGACTCCTTTGCAAAAAATTAGTTTTAATATATCTAAAAGCTACGGACGACTTCAGACGACAAACATGCGCCCACTACACTTCGAGCAATTGTTAGAAAGAGCACTGGATTCTTTATACCGTAAATCGCCTACCTGCAAAACCAAAGATAAAACTTTAAAACGTCGGAGCAAAATGAAATGATCTGAATTTAAATGTTGACTATTCATTTACTTGATCATTCCCTGTAAAAGTCACAGTCAGGATGGGAACTTGATAACCGGCAGTGAAGGATTCACTAGTTGAGATGTACAAAACCAAAAACCTGTTTGGAACCAATGGCAAAATCTGACACAACCGTTAAGAGAAATGACTACCTGCAGGAAGGGTGAATCCAACCACTCAACGGAACTGATGCGCTACTTAACTTATACTTGGACTACTATTTTGGTAAGCAGCTTTACAATGTCTATGCTACCGTTGAAGAAACTGGCCAGCTTACGAAGTCTCTCGTAAGCACTGCCAGGAAAAGAATGTGGTAGAAAAGCGGGCTGAGAATTGAACTGCAATACAGACACATTTTTAAAAAACGACCAAAACTTTAAAAGAACCGTACAAGGGGATAACCAGTTATACCCCGACTACAAAAGTTGAAAATGTACAAGTTCCTTTCATCCAACAATGTTTAAACGACGGTTACCACGATTTAGTCACTGCACACTTTTTAAACTGTAAGCAGTCAGCTTAACAAATGCTTCTTTAAAGCCAACACCACTTCCTTGCACTAATTTATGGCCTCTTTCACGAAGGAAATTAACTACCGCAACTACCAAATGAATAATACCAGAATTACGTTTACAGCTAAACAACTGCGACTTTTCGCATCTTCATAATATCATTGTCTAAGCTGAAAAGGTACACATGATCTAAAACGATCTTCAGATTCAAAGCATTTGAAATCTCATAACAGGTACTGGCTAAGCACACTGGATAAACTGAAACAACTTGACCAAGACTTGAACGAACTAAAGAGAAGACGATCGGTAGCATGGCAATAATGCAAGCAACATTTAAAAAATTAAGATTCACACTGTAAGGATGAATTATCTTAATATTGCTCATAACAAACTTTTGCTCCCACAAAATCGAGACCTCAAAACCTTTAAAAAATTCACTGAAACTACAGTAAAAACACTAAACTAGGTCATTTTCTTTATTCTCGAACAAATATCTGCGGTGAATTTAGAACACGTTGAGAAGCCCCCGAGATCCTTCGTTTTGTGCTTTCCTTCAGCAATGGAATCGAAACAAGCCTACAATTTAAGATAAATGAATCAACCAGTTAGACTTTCAACTTCATCATATTTTTCTTTCTTCTAGAGTTAATGTCATAACCTTTTCAATTTTGCTAGCGTGATCTTTAAAACCTATATAACGCAACATCATCACGCCGGACAGAAGAAGTGCAGTCGGGTTTGCTTTGTCCTAAAAGAAATAAAAATTATTGTGTATTCCTGACTATGTTTAAATTATAGTGTTGTTGTGAGTCTTTTTTGCCCGGTAGGGAAAAAATGTTAAGACAGACAACCTGTCCCGCAATATCGGGTGCGGTACCATGCACAGATTCAAATACAGCACCATCTTCCCCTATATTTCCTGAAGGGGTGACACCCAGACCTCCTATTAAACCCGCACAGAGGTCAGAAAGTATATCACCATAGAGATTTGGCATTACCAGCACGTCGTATTGATTTGGATCTTGAACCATCTGTCAAACCGAACGCCGAGGTTAATGAACAAGCATGTCATAAAAGTTAAAACCAACAGAAAAACGACTAAAAAAATTCTTTTTTGGACCTGCCTGAAAACCCATCTTGTAATTAAGTACAACTTCAAAACTCACATTAAGACAAACAGTATCGAGGTATGCCTCTTTAAAAATTATGTCTGGGTAATTTGGTGCCTCTTCACGACAACAGTTGAGAAACAGACCATCTGACAACCTCATAATATTCGCTTTATGTACCGCAGTTACCATCTTACGTCCGTTAGCCCGTGCATACTCAAAAGCGAATTTTGCAACTCTTCTTGAGGCAGCTTCGGTAATTAGTTTTACGCTTTGAACAACCCCATCAACTATCTGAAACGAAGTAAATACACACTCGCGGCTCAAATAAATGCCAATTTGAACAAAGTTTACGCGCACAGAGGTCACAGCTATCTGCACAAGAAATAAATAAGTGATGAGCCCAAACCCAACCATTAAGGTTTAAAACCATAGTAGGAAAGTAACCTATCCATTTAATAAGGAAATATCCTAATTAAATGACTTACTTAACAACTAAAAATTATTTAAACCTGCACAAGTCTACAGATAACCCCTACTTCTTTCTAATATTCAGTAAATTCATTTATTAACTATAGCATCTTAAGCTGCAAATAAAGAAAAGCTTCTAATATACACTCAGTAACTGCAGGTTCATCCAAGTTAGATGTGGAAGACGAGTTTTATGCAGGAAAATTAATTTTTTGTACCGATTACTACAGCAAAATTTCTAAAGCTAAAAGATATAAGAAGTTACCTCATGTTCGATACCAGAATACTCCCCCTCTGTATTCTCTCGAATTGTAATAACATTTACATTGTCGTACAGTGTTTTATGTCCAACCAAAGAACGACAAGGTCTAACGTTAGCAAAGAGGTGGAACTCCCTGTAATTACTGGTAGTAGGGAAAAACGCAGTAGAACAAACGGGAAAAGTCCACTAATTTTAAAGTGAGTGAAACATTTTGAACCTCTTACTTCGAAAGTAATGGTCCTTCCATACCCAAAATGCTTAGCCAATAAAATAAACAGCGAAGGAGTGAAATATATAACACCAACTGAAGCCAAGAAATGTAATCTTCTTTAAAGGAATGTTTTGTTGACTTTCAGAAACATTAAAAAATCATATAATCAAAAACGTCTTCAAATAGTTCAGCATATTTAAGTTCATTAAGAACAAGTATCAACTAAAAAACAGCTTTACTTTCTTATAGCCAGGTTTAACGAGCCATGTCCTTTACCAACAGGAGTTTCAAGAGGGCCTTTCAGACCAATTTTGTTTTTATGCATAAGCTCGATACATCTGAAAAAACCCAGAAAAGCAAATCAGCATTTATAAATCAAAAACCCACCAAAAGCCTACTGAAAACTAGCAAGGAGTTTTAATAAAAGTAGCGCTGAAGTAACGAGACAATTATTAATATAGTATCAGTATGGAAGCCAATAAGCTTCCTCTTCAAGAAAAAGTTTATAATAACTACAATATATAACTGTGGAGCTAGTTATAAACCAGGCACATTTTACAAAAGAAAGCGACAATAAATACTTCTTTGGTATTCGGTAAACTCCATCACGGCCTTTAACTGGAGTTACGTCAACAGGATCCCAAGCAATGGGTACCTCAGCTGCTTCAAAAATCTTTTGGACTGCAGTAGAGATTTCAGGACCAATACCGTCACCTTAATAGAAAAGACGCTGTTATGAATTAAATGCTGTGAATCGTTATAGAATAAAAAAGAGAAGCTTGGTTTTTTTAGTTCTTCTACTTGGAAAAAGAAGACGCTAAAAAAAGTTCTGATTGAATGCCGCTAGCGGAACATTTGAGCAGTTCCTATAAACTAAGTCTTGCAAAATAATACAACTTTGTCGTGCTCATGCCTTTCCTATCTTATCTACTTTCGCAGCAGCTTCGCCACTAAAGAAATGAAGTTAAGAATACAGTTTTCGCATACACTATCGTTTCTTAATGTAAAATAGCAAAGACCATGTAGCAAAATCTCCTAGTGTCTTAGCACCCTTAGTACCTTTCCTAGCAAGGCGATTTTTGACATTTTAAACTATTTTAGTCTAAAAAAACTTGTTTAAAACCTTAATTGAGCTACACCTACATTAAAAACCCTTGGAGTGTCTAATAACCTTTTTGATTTTCTCAAGTGGTAAGAGCAAATTACGAGTTCAAGTACATTCTGAAAGAATTAAGACTAACTAAAAAAGCTATTATTCTGAACAGGATGATAACTAAAAGCCTATCACACTAATTACAACAACAAGAATATCCAAATCGTGTGTAACGGTCAATAACAAGACGGGAGACGTGAAAGAAGAGTACAAACGAAGCAAAAAGGTGAACGAGAGAAACAAAACGACTGAAAACTATAGGCAGAAAATCAAAACCTAGCTCATTTACGACTACCTGTAAACAGCGAGCTCGAATTTAGATAAAACTTCAGATTCTTCTAAGAAATACTTATTGTTCGGTAATAACAGAGAAAAACAACTCTAATTAGGACCTGGAATTAATGTTACGTGGGTTAATCTCTTTTTGGTTACATGGTTTATCAGTCGTACAGCGTCCCAGCTTTGAGAAAACAAATTTGAATAAGTTTTCAGCATAGTCTACTGTAAACAGTTGTTCGCCGAATACTCGTAAATTGGGCCCACGTTGCCTTAGACAGTCTGCGAATAGAACTTTCCTAATTATACCACCTTCTCTACGCTGTAAAGATTATTCCGTTAGATTCTAAAATCAATCCATAAAACTGTCGAACAAATTAAGGGTGTTCAAAAAACCTGCCATGAACAAAAAAAGGATGTAAAAATGGTGAAACTGCAGTACTTGTCCTTTTGAAAAATCATAAGATACAGCAAAACAAAACAATAATAGAGTATTTTAAAAAAACCATCATAATTATAAATTAGAGAAATATTATGCGCAATATGTGCAAAAGCCGTTGGTCCTAAGAACCTCATTTTAAAGCAAAGCGACTAAACCGACTCGCCAGCGAAACAACAGATACAGCAGATAAAGAAGATTTGAGTACATAACCATTCAATCTATCGGTTAACTATGCGTTCCAGAACATTGCTGCCTTTAGCAACGCTATTTTCTACCTCAAATACTTGCGCAGCTGGCCATCGTTAAATACGA